ATAAGACATGGACAATTTAACGAGCTTTTCCAAGGCGAAATATGTAAAGAAATAAATTAAATTAATAAATATAAAGAAACAGTTGAACAAAAAAATGAATATATTGTTTTTTTGCATATTATTTAATCGATTAGAATTCTTATCTGAGCAAAAGATTCGTGTGATGCAACAAATATATCACCAACTGATACATAAGTTGGTTTACTTGCTCTTGTAATAACCAAAAATAATAATAATTTTGATTGTTTCGACAATAAATACCAAGGAGTCTCGTTACTGACAAAAATTATTTTAACATTTTGATAAATTTTATATAAAATAATTAATTTCTTTTAATAAAACACATAATTAATCACAGGTTCAAATAAAAATCAATTCATTCTCACGCTTTATAAAATACAGCTTCGGTCACGTTCTTCAAGTGTTGTCCTATGTTGCACCAAATAAAAACCCAAATCAAATGAAAGATAACATATATTATCGGTAAGAACAATAAACCGGCGATATCTTCTTTTTTATTTTTATCGATAGTATCCATGATCTATCAATTAAAAAAAAAAAATGAAAATTTAAGCAAGTAAATAAGTAAAGCATTGACGTTCTTATGATTAATTAAAATAACTTACGTGAAAAGTAACACCTCCAATAAAACATAATGCACATGTTACCAATATTAGAGTTATCACATGATAATTAGTATTATAAGCATCTATATATCTAAAAAATAAGGACAGAGCAAAAGACACATCTTTGTGTACTTTATTTTTACGTATAGCGAAAGGGTTATTAGAATAAAATAATGAAAAAAAACATACACGTTGTATTGGCGATTTAATAAAACACGTGATTATTAAATTGATACATTTTGAATGAAACCAGACTAAAATACGATCCACATTTAATGTTACGAAAAAATGGACGATGTAAAATAAATATATTATCAATACTAACTGGAACGCTCTGTCGTGAAAAAAAAGCTGTGCTACAATTGGTTTAAAAGAATTCAAATTAAATAAATTCTTAAAACGTTGCTTATTAGAGATTTCTATATATATTTTTAATCATTTTCTAAAAATAGTTATATTTAACTATTTGAAAAAGACATAGAAAATACAATTTTAAATTTAAATAAATTCTATGAAATTTAATCTATCACGAAACAATATTTATCTATTAACATTTAAAGATTCTCATTGACGATAACAACATATTTCACATTGTGAATAAAAAGCTTGAACGGCATTAGTTTCTCGAATGTAGGACCATCGCGTAAGACGTTGATAATTTTACGAGCTTCCAAGAAGAAATATGTAAATAAATAAATTAAGTTAAAAACATATGGAAAAATAGTTGAATTAAAATGTATATTTTGTATATTTATTTTTTATATTTTTTGAACGATATCAGAATTCTTCTTACCTGAGCAAAAAATTCGTGTGATGCAACAAACATATTACCGACTGATACATAAGTTGGTTGACTTGCCCTTGCAATCATTAAAAATAATAATATTTTTGATTGCTTCGAAAACAAATACCACGAAGTCTCGTCACTAAAAAAAGGAAAAAATATTTTAACCTTGTTATTTATTTTCTTAGAGAGAATTTTTTTATTGTAATAAAACATGATTCGAATAAAAATCAATTCATTCTCACATTTTGTAGAATACAGCTTCGCTCATGTTTCTCAAGTGTTGTCCTAAGTAACAATAAATAAAAACCCAAAGCAAATGAAGGATAATAAAAAGTATCGGTAAGATCACTAAATTTGCGATATTCTCGATATCGTTTTCCTTAAAAGTATCCACGATCTAGCAAACAAAAGAAACATAATAAAGTAAATAAATTGATAAAGTGTTAATGTCCTTGGAATTAGTTACTATCTCTTACGTTAATAGTAGCAGCACCGATGAAGCATAAAGCAAAAACTATCATAATTATGCTCATCATATTATAGTTTGTATTATATTCATCTATATATCTAAAAAATAAGGAAAGCGAAAAAGAACACTATGTCAACCTAATTTGTATGTGCATAGTGAAAAGGTTGATAAAATAAAATAATAAAAAAGAACATATTTTTTCGTGTTAGTGATCTAATGAAATAAACAAATAATTATATTATATTATATTATATTATATTATATTATATTATATTATATTATATTATATTATATTATATTATATTATATATATATAAAGAAATAAAATAAAATCATACTAAACATGTGATTGGTAAAACTTTTGGAATTAAAATCAGACTAAAATTTCATTGTCATTTTAATAAGACGAAAATGCGGATGATGTTAAATAACATAATATCAATACTAACTTAAATGTTTTGTCATGAATTTTGATTATATGAATTATTCTGGTAAAAGTAACTTTATTATCAATCACTTTTAATCCTTTCTCCTTACCCTCCATTATGTTGTTCAAAAGACGTCTGTAATAAAAACAGATTAAGTCAATATTTGATTGTTTCTTACATTTTAGACAAAGTTCAAAAAGATACTAATCGAAATAATTACCCAATAATTCGGAACATCGCACAAATGTGTAATAGCACTACAAGGACCATCGATGATGAGCTTATAACGCTAAAACCTAATACAAGAAACACGAAGTATTGTATAAGGAGAATCTCAAAAAAATATTTGTCTTCTTCAATGATGCCACTCATCGTGTACATTAATTTACGTTGTCGTGTTTTATTCAATGGTATTAGAATATCCAGAAAAACTGATTTAAACGGTTGTAGGAAAACCAATGTTACGTAGAATACATAGGAAGCTAAAAAGAAACTAAAAGAACCATGAGTTATCAATATTTTATGCGAATAGTAAAACTCTTCTTACCTGTTACAAATAGGATGCATTTTCTAGCATAACTAGCGTATTCTATCAGAATCTTATATTCCTTCGTTTTTTCTAAGTTAAACCAATCGTCAAGTAATCTTGTAAAGAAAGACAATATCTGCAAAAAAAAAAAAAGAAATAAGACTACATCTTTTACGATTAGTGAAAGTGTTCAATTATAATTCCATTTTTTATGTGTAATACGTACGTATTCCTTCTTAAAGAGACTGTAGAAGTAAATAGTTCCCATTGATATTGACGAGAACAGATAAGCCATGTTAGTTATGGATGATTTAATGTTAAATTCACTTGATAGAAAATATAAAACCTAAGTTTTTGAATAAGGTTTCTTATTATTCGGCACTTTTATGTAAACGAGTAATTAAAAATGATTATTTACTTGCACAAAATATGCAGAAATTAAACTGACGCTCATAAAAAGTACCCTAATATATTTTGTAGAAGGTTTTAATATAGGCCAGATACCACTGAACGAAAGTATTTTTTTTATAAATGCTAACGGTATAGTATCTATCCGTTCCATCTTTTTCTAAGTCATCAGAAGTAAATGACATACACCAAAAAAAAAAATTATTGTTTTTAAATTTTCCCTTTTCTTCTATTTTTTCTTTGTCTTTTTACAACCCCATTGTCTTGAATAATAGATACATAATGTAAGTGTACAAATGATAAAGGAAAATGACTAAATCGATATTGTCCCTAACGCAATTATAAGTGAAAAGAAAAATATATGACAATTAAGTATCATTTTTTTCTATTCTCGAGTCTCTTACGTTTGCATAGTGGTGGGGAGGATCGATCGAAGTTATCCGAAGTCCTTGAACAGTCGGTATTTGTCTAGATCATCGTACGGATGTTAAACGGTCTCTGTGTTACAACCTCGGTTGAGTATTTTGAACAGTTTACTCTTTAATAATAATATATATATATATATATATATATATATATATATATATATATATGTTTTGTAATAAGATATGTTATGACTTGAAATTTTCTTTCGAAAAACAACTATAGAAATATATTCGTCTATAATATTATCAAATTTCTATTATTTGAAATTTTAACTATTTTTAAATTCTGATCGCAAATGTAAACCATCGCATACAATATGTAAGTAATACTGACTCTAGTTAATTTTTTTGTTGTCTATTTAAATAATACTTTATTTTCATAATTTTTTATTTATTATTCTTCTTTTTAAATTAATTTTAAGTACATTTCTTTTTATATGTTCTACAAATTTTTTTAACAAATTCCACTTAAGCTGCAAAATATTAGTTCGCAGAATATAGTACCATCCCGTAAGAAGTTGATAATCGCACGAGCTTAAAAAAAAAAAAAAAAAACACAAACAAACAAAGAATATATTTGTAATAATAAGAAAAAAATAAACTACATATGAAATTTGAATTATCAATATTCATTTCTTATCACAGTAAGAAATTCGAACGAGGCATTAAATATTTTTCCAATCCAAACGTACGATATTCTTTCTGCTCTCGTTATCACAAATAAGAGTAATTTTTTCGAATTTCTTGGCAATAGATACCACATCTGTTGGTATCACAGATACTTTTGTCCACTGTACCAATTCATTAATATTATTAACGTATTTGTTCGAGTTTCGTTTAATGATATGATCATGTAAAAAAAACATAGATTTTAATAATAGCAGAAATAAAAATTACCCATATACGTTATAAAAAATTGAAATAATTATTCGTAAATTATGATTTCTAATTCATTTCTAATTTATTTACATTTCTATTCTTATTACATAGAACTTATTAGTTGACTTTATATTTAAATTCTTAGTAAAAATTAGAATATTATTATCCATTGATTTGTTTGTATTTTTTTCTATATAGTATAATCGATCATGCTAATGTGCTGTTTCTTTCAACATAAATCAATTTCATGTTCGGAATTTTTGATTTCAGTATTTATTTTTAATCATTTACTAACAATAGTTAAATACATTTCAACAAGACATGAAAAATATAATCTAAAATTCAACCAAATACTAAGAAAATGAATCTACGGCTGAACAATATTTATCTATCAACATTTGAAGATTGTCGATGATGATGTCGAAATGTTTGACATTCAAATTAGTAGTTGCACCTCATTAGTTTCTCGAATGCAGAACCATGGCGTAAGACATCGACATTTTTACGAGCTACCAAGAAAAAAGAAATATGAAATAATAGTTGAATAAATATGAGCGTATATTTGATCATATTTTTTGAACGAGATCAGAATTCTTCTTACCTGAGCAAAAAATTCGTGAGACGCAATAAACATATTACCGACTGATACATAAGTTGGCTTACTTGCTCTTACTATCATTAAAAATAATAATATTTTTGATTGTTTCGACAATAAATACCAAGGAGTCTCGTTACTGACAAAAATTATTTCAACATTTTGATAAATTTTATATAAAATAATTAATTTCTTTTAATAAAACACATAATTTATCACAGGTTCGAATAAAAATCAATTCATTCTCACGCTTTATAAAATACAGCTTCGGTCACGTTCTTCAAGTGTTGTCCTATGTTGCACCAAATAAAAACCCAAATCAAATGAAAGATAACATATATTATCGGTAAGAACAATAAACCGGCGATATCTTCTTTTTTATTTTTATCGATAGTATCCATGATCTATCAATTAAAAAAAAAAAAAAGAAAATTTAAACAAATAAATAAGTAAAGCATTGACGTTCTTATGATTAATTAAAATAACTTACGTGAAAAGTAGCACCTCCAATAAAACATAACGCACATGTTACCATTATTAGGGTAATCACATTAAAATTAGTATTATAAGCATCTACATACCTAAAAGATAAGGAGCAGAAAAGACCTTTCTGTGTACCTAATTTGTATGTGTAACAATAAGCTTGATAAAATAAAATAATGAAAAAGAATATACACATCGTGTTGGTGATCTAATGAAATATGTGATTAGTGAATCTATACATTTGGGATTAGAATCTGACTCAAATTTACATAATTGTCATTTAATAAGATGAAAAATAAGTGAATGTGAAAATAACGTAATATCAATACTAACTTAAATGTTTTGTCGTGAATCTTGATTATACGAATTATCCTTGTAAAAGTCAATTCATTATCGATTATTTCTAATCCTTTCTCTTTACCATTTATTATGTTGTCCAAAAGACATCTATAATTAAACAAGATTCGATATTAAATTATTTCTTACTTTGTAGAAAAAGTGCAGAAAGATACACTTTCGAGTTACTGATCTCGAAATAGTTACCCAATAATTCGGAACATGGCACAAATATGTAGTAGTATCGTAAGACATATCGATAACCCGCTTATAATACTAAAACCTAATACTAGAAATATGACATATTGGAAAAAAAGAATTTCGCAAAAATAATCGTTTTCTTCAATGATACCGCTCATCGTGTACATTAAATTACGTTGTCGTGTTTTATTCAATGGTATCAAGACATCCAAAAAAACTGACTTAAATGATTGCAGAAAAACACATGTTGCGTAGAATACATAAGAAGCTGAAAAATCACTAAAAGAACAATAACTTACGAACTTTGATGCGGATTGTTTACGTTTCGTTTCTTACCTATCCACAATGAAATGCATTTTTTAGCATAATTGGCGTATTTTATTAGAACGTCGTATTCCTTCGTATTTTCTAAAGTAACCCAATCGTCGATTAGTCTTATAAAGAACGAAAATATCTGCAAATTCACAATAAGATGATTCCCATATGATGATTTGTAGTCAGAATGTCCAATTATAATTTGTAATTTTTATCTGCAATACTTACGTATTTTTTCTTAAGTAGACTACAGAAATAAACGGCACCCATTGATATTGTCGTGCAGAGATAAGCCATGTAAATTACAGATGACTTTATGTTGAATTCATCTGATAAAAAATTAATTGCCTATTTTGGAACGAGATTTTCTTATTATTCAACAAATAAATAAATGTAAACGTGTAATTGAGATTATTTCATTGGGTGATTATTTACCTGCACGAAATATGCGGAAATTAAGTTGAAGCTCACAAAAAATACACTAATATATTTTTTGGAAGGTTTTAGTATAGGCCAGATACCACTGAACGAAAGTATCTTTTTTAAAAATGCCAACGGTATCGTATCAAACCCTTCCATCTTTTTCAAAGTTCACAGATACAAATGACATACATCACAGTTATTAGTTTTAAATTTCTTTTTCTTCTATTTTACTTTATATTTTTACCACTTCATTGGCTTAAATAATAGATTCATCGTGTAAGGGTACAAATGGTAAAGGAAAATTACTTAATCGATATCATCCCTATAGTGTAATTATAAGCGAAAGGGAAAATGTAGTATGCTTCAATAGCATTTTTTTCTATTCTCGAGTGTCTTTCGTTTTGCGTAATGGTGGGGAGGATCGATTCAAGTCATTCGAAGTCTTTGAACAGTCGATGTTTGACTGGATCGTCGTACGGATGCTAAACGATTTCTGTGTTACAACTTCGATTCACTATTTTACTCAGTTACCTTATTAGTAATAATAATCTATCAGTTTTATATGTTTTTTCGATTAATATCTTTAGAAATAAATTTTTTCTACTATATACATATATAGTAGAATGTCAAATTATTATCGTTTCAAATTTTAAATTCTCTTCAACTCTCTTATTGTAAGTATAATTCAACGCATATAATTTGTAAGTAACATTATTACGAGTTATTTCTTTTACATTTATTTGTTATTATTTTATTTATATTATTTTTTTTAAATAATTCTTAAAGTTAAACTTTATCATCTTTTTCAATATTTTTTAACAAATTTCACACAAGTTGTATAATATTAACACAAAGAATGTAATAATATTTCGTAAGAAATTGATAAGCGTGTTGTTCGGCTCTTATTACGATTATGTAATCTACTTTTTGTATTTCTTACTGAATTACACCAACTATTATATCAACTGTAAAGTATATCTGTTATCGTTAAATCTCGAAAACCATTTATGTGCACATTACGTAGCTAATCTGTAGATTTAACTGATTTGTTCCGTTAACGTGCAGAATCAAGTTTTTTCCACATTTTACCAAGGTATTGTACACATTAACGGCTTCAGTATTGTTAAAGTATCGTTAAAGAAGATGTTCCTGTTATTATAAATATCTTTACCTCAAACAGCAATAAAACAATTCTATTGGTACTGGGCAGGATTTCAAAAAATGTGACTACATATTTAAATGTACCACAAATAGATAATTCGAAGTGTCAGTAATCTTTAGATTGAACTATTAAGTAAGCAGAATTTTATTATATGTTTTGCAAATTCATTTCCTTAATTCTAATAATATTTTAAATCGTTTGATTCTTTCTATTATAGTTTTTTTTTTATTGAATGATGATTGATTTTTTCAACTAATTCTTGAATGTTTGATTGTATTAACCCTTTGACTGCTAGCTACTCTAAGTCGAAGCGCTTAGCGTGTGCGGCGTGCGGCCAGCAGTAGCGGTCGCTGGGGACTGAATACTTTTTCAGACAATATGGATCTTGTGAGCGGCGTATTAATACATTGTAATATAATTCATAATCCAATTACTATTACTTTGTCCACTGCAAAACGGATCAAATAATATTTTTTTATTTTATTTTTTTTTATTTTTAACATAAATTGTTTACTCACCAATGGTAAAGTTTTAAAATACCATAGTTGGATAGTTATAAATTATAACTATACGTTTATTTATTTATTCTTTTTTTTATAACTTATATAATGTATATATTTGAATATTAGAAATTGAAAAATTGAACAAATAACAAGTAAGTAACATAAGTACTGTAAATCTAAACAAAATAAAACAAATTTAAGACAGAGAATGACTGACCAAATAAACGAAATTTCATTTTTTTCGTTGCTAATCAACGAGGTTTAAGATTTCTGCGAGTGTATTGGACATGTAAAAGAGAAACCATTTCCGAGCATATATATGAGACAGCAGTAAACAGCCAAAAATTCGCCGAGCGCGCATTTGCGTGCATAGTCTATTTCGATGGCTTGCATCGGACGTATATTTGAACCCATAGGCCACACCAATAGTTTCCGCTGGACGCACATTTGCGCCCATAGCAGTCAAAGGGTTAATTTGATTCTTTAGATATTGAAAAATAAATAAATAACATTATGTTAATTTATAAGTATAAAAACGTTACTGTTGTTCCAAAGATCTTATTTTCGCTTCAACGAATGCCTAGTAGGTAATGTGCAGATTATCTAGGTAATTTAAAAAATAAAACAATTTTCGATACTTTTTAATAGATCACCCTATTTAATATGTACATTACCTAGATAAACGACAAAATAACTGATTTTTGCATTTTTACAGTTCACATATCGACCGTATCGATTGAATTATACCAAATAATTATAACGACTGAATTATATCAAATGTTTATATAAATTCTTTCAATCAACTGAGTTATAGGAATCATTTTCCTCTACTTATAATTCTTTTCTCGTCAAAGGTACTGGTACAACCTTGTAGGAGGGTTAATAATGGAAATTTTCCGATTTCCAAAATTCTTCGTAAAAGGGATGAAATTCCGAAAGTGATGGTCATAAAAATACCAAGAAAACCATTGGTGGTGTCTTCAAAGGGATTCTTGACTGTTGTGAATTGATCAAATATAATTTACCCCTTTTCCCCTTTTTGTAGATATTCAACCCTTGGTATTTTTATAGCTCAACCGCAATAAAAGGATCATCATTATCGGAAATTATTCGATGCAATAAATTTCCTCAATTATTTCCGATTTTTAATGTAACACATGCCGCCTTTTTCTGCGTATTAACTTGAATAATAAATTGTCAAATTACGATCGTGATAACGAAAGGGATCATTTTAAAAATTATCTTTATCTAATTATTATAGCCTTAAGTTAAAAAACATTTCAATTATAATTTGTTTCAATATCGAAAATATACAGGGTGCCTCAGAATCAACTGGACACCTAGATATCTCTGTAGAATTTGAAATTACAAAGTAGGTTTATATAAGTATCATAATGATTTCGAGGAACTCACATGGTCATCTGAACATCATGCTTTTGAATTTCATTTTTTTTTTTAGGTTTTTCTGGATTTCTAACATTTTTTTAAATAAAATTGTATTTTTAACAGTTTAACGGTGTACACGAATTGATAACGAAAAGTTAAAAAGTAAAGCATAATAAATAATTGAAATAAAAAATATAAATTACAAAACACATGTACTTATTTAAAATTTATATTAATATTTTTGAACGTTTCTACTTTTATTCTTTCATATAACATTCTATTGCAAATAAATTCTACTTATAATTAAAAAATAAATAATGAAGAATCAGACCAGTTTTTAATTAAAAATAATTTTTAAATTCTATACACATTTTGCTTTTTTTTATAACTTTATATTTTTACTTTTATAAAAGTAAAACTAAACAGTCTCTCTCTTTCTCTCTCTCTCTTTGTGTTACAAATTCGATACACCATTCTGCGAAATTTACTCACTATTAATAATATAATTGTCGAATTTCTATCGTTTCAAATATCAAATTTTCCTCAATTCTGATTTTTAGTATAATCAAACTCATACAATTAATAAATAATATTATTTCTAGTTATTTATTTCATATTTATTTAACATTATTTTATTTCCATTAAGTACTTTTTTTTCTTTATTATTTTTTCATAATAATTTTCAAGAAAACAAATTTTCTTATCATTTATCATATTTTTTCACGAATTCCACGCAAGTTGTAGAATATCAGCG